CCTCAGGGGTGGGGGTGGGGGTGCGGGTTATACATCGATCATTATGATTGGTTACCCCTTTCTCCCCCTTCACCCCACTTTTCCTCTACCCTCATGGTATTGCTACTCCCATTATTGTTCCTGAGGGGTTTATCTCTCCAGGATCCCGTGTGTTGAGAGCTCTTCTCTGTACCAGTGTGCATGCTCCAGTCTAGCCGGATTTGTAAGGAAGAACTTGTCTAATGAAATAGCCTAGCACAGCCCTGCCCAATGGTGACAGAATGCAAGCCACAATCAGAATATATCATGTCATTTAAAATTCCCTAGTTGTCATAGTAAAAACAGTACAAAGACACAGGTGAAATTGACTGAAGGATATAGATGAGCCAACCAGTATACTCAAAATTTAAATTTGAGTCTTCATTTAACTATGCACTCAATATAAACATAAAATATTAATAGTTTGGAGGTTTTGCCTTTTTTGATACTAAATTTGTAAAATTTGCTGCATATTCTACACTGATTAAAAACAGCAACTGCAAAATCCCAGCTTCCATCAAGTCAATTCTGACTCATAACACATCTTAGTCGAGGCCAACCTCATTTTAAGAGTTCAAGCAAACTTATTTGGTCAGTGACTGACTTACAGGCCAGGACAGCTCCAACAAATTAAAAGCATGGCTAATTTGAGGTTATACCTACTACATTGATCTCATTTGTAATTATTATAAAAACAAATATTTTCAGCAGAGTGATTTCCAATTTTTTTCTTGTTGGGGGGTGTCTTTATTACATTGAGAATCTGAATCTGTGCATTTTCTTATCAAAATAATATGTAAAACTTCCCAATTAGTTCACAATATCATAGCATCACATTCAAGGAATCCCTGGGAGTTAAAAATCCTTATGCTCCCTAGTGTTTTACTCTCCGTAGAATATTGGCGATTGGTTTGAAAAAATATTGTTTCAATGTTACGAAGGTATCTTTTGTTTCTAATTTACAAGAGTTATTGTCCGGGATGGAGCTTGAAATTTAGTAAATGCCATTTTGAACTTTAACATAATAACAAGGTGTTCCCTAAACCAAAAAAATTATTGTCAGGTCAGCTGACCTCTGGGGTCTTTATTAGTCATCTACATACATCTACATGCAGAAGTAACCACAACTGGGTAACTTGGAGAAACAGGGACTGATTTGCTCACAGTTAGGAGGCTAGAAGTCCAAATTCTGAGCACTCTCTTTAGGGCAAGCCTTTCTTTCTCTGCTGGCTCTGAGGGTAAGGCCCCGTGTCTGTTTCACAAAAGGGGGCTGGTGTCCTCGGAGATCTCTACGTGTTTTGGTATCACTCTTCCTTTGAATCTAAGAGGTTCTCAGCACAGAAATCCCATCTTCAAAGGAACCATTTTTCCCCAGCTCTTCCTTATTTGTGGTAGTAAGCCCCTCCTAGTCTCTCCTATAAGATAAAAAGTGGTACAAACCACACTCCCTATTAGGGCTGTGACATGAGTAAAAGGTTGCATATCACACGCTAATCCCCTTACAATTAGTTGGCTGATCACATCAGATCACGTTATGGGGATCTGATTACATTCTCACATAACTGTAAAATTAAAGCATCACATAACTTCCAAACATTGAACATCTTGACGGAGCCAAGTTGACACTATTTTAGGAGGATCCAATTCAATCCATGATATGGTATGTCAAAGTAGAACTATACTCCATAAGGTTTTCAGGGATTAATTTTTAGAAGTAAATTGCCAGGGTTTTTCTTCCAAATCATCTGTTTACTGCTTTCTTATTTGTTAATCTCTTCTTCCTTATTTTACTCTTGGAGCACTTCTCTTTTTAAAAAAATACTTACATATAATTTACACATCATACAATTCAATGTCTTAAACATAATGAAAAGAGTTGTGCAATCATCACTATAATCAATTGTAGAACATTTACTTCATTTTTGTACAAATTATTGTTAGCTTTCCCTTTCCCCCAACCTCCCCTGCCATAACCCTAAGAAACTATGAATTCAGTTATTGGCTCTATACATTTACCTATACTAGATTACAAATTTTTAAAACATACTCAAACGACAACAACAACAACAACAATCGCAAAATAAAACAGAGAAAACCTCAATTGAAAACCAGAACAAATTTAAAATGGGTGAAACAAGAGAACAAATGATACATTAGCGTTACAGTTTAACCTAACTACATCTGCATGAATCCTCTTTGCGATGTTCTCTGTCAGCTAGCTCCACATCCCTGGTCAATGACCAGAGGGGATTCCCCACAGACTTAGTCCACATGTGTTGTTTAGATATTTCAGTGGAAAGCTGCTGGGGGCAGGGCAGGGGCACAGGGAGGAAGTTCCCTTCCATTTTACCTTGCATGTCCTGGCTTATACATATTTACTATAATCAAAACTTCTAAACACTCTTATGCCATCATATTAGAACATAATTGTGTTTTCCTTGCGTTTCTTTTCAATAGCACAATGAAATTATGCTGATAGACTCAGATGCAGAAGCTGCTGTAGAACCACAAGTTGAAACTGAAGGTAGATTAATTTGATTTAAAAATAATGGCAAGACTTTTCTGCACATTGATGTTAATTGCTGCATTTTTGACACAGCGAAAACTGGTAATGCTCTCATCAGGGAACTGTCCAGATAAATTACGGTCAGATTACACTTGGATGACTAATCTGGACAGTGGTTCTTATTTCATCCTGCAGTATTCAAAAGCTTGTTCAGAGAACTTCTTGCATGATAATGCATGCCGCTGGTTTCTCTGCAGCCAACACTGTGTGCTTTTGCTGTGAATGTGTGTTGGTTTGTTTTGTGGAGGAAGGGAAGACAAGTGAGCATGCCCAGTACATTATCTTGAATGAAAAACTTAACACGTGTGTGCACATAAATCTGAAGATGACAGCATTAGCCACTTTGTGAAATTTCCTTGCACAATGGAGAGTTAACTCCTCACTTTTGGAGATAATGAGCTAGATGGATCATGAGTGGGAATACTGTTAATTAAACTCTCGTGAAAACCAACCCATGTCTGTTTACTAAGCTTTTTCATTTTTGACTAAAACCTCTTGTGAATTTTTGCCCTGTGCACAAATATAGAAACCTTGCTTTGATTCTCAGTAGCAAATCTTTGGTAGTTGAAATGCCATCATAAGACAAAAACTTTCATCAATGGATCAAAACACCGGGCATTAAAGATTTACCATTCTAATTGCTAAACTGTTCATTATCCGGCATTTTTATCAAGAATGTGAAATTGTTCTATCTTTTTCCCTAGAGGAGCAGTACACTATTGTGATCATCAAACCAGATGCTGTGGCCAGTAGAAAAAATGAAGAAATTAGGATAAAAGTAAGCAATCTGGTGTGGCCATGATTTGAATTCCACCCCCCACATGTTGGAAATGAACTTGTACGTCACTGAAGGCCCCACATCCATGGAGCCCAACAGTTAGATCTGAGCGGAAAGGAACCTAGAGGGATTTTCCCCCATGGAGCAATTTTTATTTTATTTTATTATGTTTTAGTTCATTTATGTTTTCCTGTTAAACTCCCCACTTTTTGCCCCCACCCCACCACCACCGCAGCCCTCTCCTCTCCCTTTTCCCACCTCTGTCTCTGGCCTCCTCACAGTCATCAAAGTCCTGTCTTTGATGTATAGACCATGGTTCTTCTTCTTCATTTTTCCTCAGAGCAGTGGCGATATTAGATATTGATCATAGTAAGATTGAATTTGCTAAGTGCAATGCTCTCCAGTTTTGTCCATGTCTTGTGGTGTTGACAAGAGTTGTCATGGATTTTATTGAGACCTGACATGGAGTGCTATGAACAAACCAGAGCGTGTTGATCCGTTCCTCTGGAGTTGGGGTTTCCGTTGTTTCTGTTTTTCTCTCTTGTGGAAATTGCGGCAATGAACGCAGGTGTACATCGGTCTGTTTGTGTTCCATCTTGGCTTCCTTAGAGTATGTCCCCAGTAGAGAGATGGCTGGGTCGTAAGGGCCTTGGGTTTGCATTTGTGTGAGCACGTGCTGTACTTGCGCTCACAATGGTTATGCAATGCTGCAGACCCTCCAGCCAGGTCAAAGCATTCCCACCTCTCCACAGCCTCTCCGGCATTTGTTATTTTCTGTTTCATTGAATTTTGCCAAAAGTGTCGGTGTAAGGTGATATCTCACTGTTGTTTTCAGCAATGAGTTGAATTCATTGTGGCGCTCTGGGTGCCACCGAGTCAGTGCTAACTTGTGACAAGGCACGTATATCACAATGGAGCAGGCTCATGTTTGGAAGCAGGTTTCCAAGGTACCTTTCTTTCAAGGAACCCGCCTTTCAGTTCGTAACCAATCACATGAACTATTTTAACCACCCAAACCAAAAAGGAAACACACTGTCATCAAGCCGATCCGAGCTCATAGGACCCTCTGCAGGGTTTCTGAAACTGTAAGTCTTCACTAGCGCACATAGCCTCGTCTTTCTCCCTCAAAGTGGCTGATTGATTAGAACCACCCATCTTCTGAGTACAGCATAATGCCTGAGCCATTCTACCAGCAGGGCTACCCTGCACCACTCAGTAGCTCTTAATTGTCAATTTGAAGACAAGTTTATCCTTTAGAGTAAAGTCAAACATAATAAACTGCCCGTGCTAAATGACCTAAACATTTTGAATATTTTCCATCTGTCTAAATGGCTCCATCTATTCATACACCTTTATTTAAGTAATCCTGCCAGTCATCTACCAGTATTATATATAAATTGTAAAAGTTGTGTATTTTATATTAGCTTAAATTACATACATTTAATGTTTAATTATTAGCAAAGCAATCTTGTTAATAGTTCACTTGGCTTGTTTTTTTTTCCCCCCTCTGTTGTTAAAAATATGTAGATACGTGATAGCTTAAGGAAGCACTGAATGTTTTGCCTTGAAGCCAAAATATTTTTTTCAAAGGGAAAATTTTATTCTAAGTCAGTTTCTGTAAAGAGCGAGATAGTAACTATTTTAGACTTTGCAGAATATATTGTCTTTGCTGCTTACTTCCAACATAATATCAAGAAATGAGACAGGGAGTGAGGAGTTGAGGCCCAAAGCCCATCTGTAGGCAATTGAACATCCCCTTACAGAAGGGTCACAGGGAGGAGATGGGCCAGTCAGGGTGCAGTATAGCACCGATGAAACATACAGCTTTCTTCTAGTTCTTTAATGCTTCCTACCCCCTCTGCCCATCATGACCCTAATTCTACCTTGCAAATCTGGCTAGACCAGAGCATGTACTTGGGCACAGATAAGAGCTGGAAACACAGGGAATCCAGGACAGATAAACAAACCTCGTGGGACCAATATTGACAGCAGTCATACCAGGATGGTCAGGGAAGGGGGGGGGGTAGAGAAAGGGGGAACCAATCACAAAAACTATAAGCCTCTCGTAGGAGGCTGGACAACAGAAAAGTGGGTAAAGGGAGACATCAGTTAGTGCAAGACATGAAAAAATAACAATAATTTATAAATTATCAAGGGGGATGGATGGAGGGAAGGTGGGGGAGGGAGGGGGCAAATGAGGAGCTGATACCAAGGGCTCAAGTAGAAAGAAAATGTCTTGAGAATGATGATGGCAACAAATGTATGAATGTGCTTGACGCATGGATGGATGGATGGATTGTGATAAGAGTTGTATGAGCCCCCAATAAAATGATTTCTTTTTAAAAAACTTCCATAGGCACTATCTAAATAAATGGCACAGTTGCATTCCAATAAAACTTTCCTTATAAAATAGGTGGTGAGCTGTATGTGGCCTGTGGAAGGGCTGTATATTTCTCGAGAAATTTATCATGAATTTCACTCTGCAGTTGTTGCTGCATTAGCATTGATTAAACTCCAGTAAAATATTCAACAGAATTTCAACTGGCTTCTGTACAGAAATGGAAAAACCAATTTTCAATTTTATATCGATTGTCAAGAAATCCCCTAAACCTGTATCCTGATCTCAAAATTTATTTTACAGGTAGAATAATCAAAACAACCTGTCATTGGTATACTAATAGACATCTAGATGTTTAGGATAGGATTAAAAATCCAGAAATAAACCTATACATTTATATTTTAAAAATCAATTGATATTTTGACAAGGGTATTAAAATAGGGAAAGAAGAGTCTTCAATAAATGATGTGGAGAAAATTGGATGCAGAAAGGTGAAAGAGGGTTGATGCTTCATCCCGTGTTAAACAAATATCAAAATGGACTTCAGACCTAATAATTAAGATTAAAACCATAAAATTCTTAGAACATAATTCAGAGAGCAGACTGTCCAGTCTAGCTTCTAACGAAGTCTAATATAAAAAGTATAACAATAAAAGCATGAACAGCAAAATATAAAATAAATAGAACCTCATAACAATGATATATTTTTGTTTATTAAAAGATTTTACCAAAAGAGTGAAGACAAGTTACCCTTTGAGAGAATATCTTCACAAAACAAATGTTTGATAATAATGTATTAGCTAAATGTATCTAAAACTTCCACAACCTACAACTAAACTCAAAAAGTGGATGAAGGACTTGAGTAGAAATTTCACAAAAAAAGGCTATTCAAATGGCCAACAAATTCATGAAAATATACTTCTTCTTGCCATCACAGAATGAAAATCAAAATGACAATGGGATACAATTTCTCTCCCACTCTAGTGGCTAAAATTTAAAAATTTGAGTGAAAATAACAAATATTGGTGAATGTGGTCACATTGGAACTGTTATTGCGTGTGTGAATGCAAAATGGTTTAGCCTTTCAATATGGTACAGTCCTTGTGGAAAACATTGTGATGGTTCTTTAAAGAACTGAAAGGAGGACAATCATGTAACTGAACAATTCCATTAGTAGGAACAAGAGCAATAGATTTGAAAACAGCAACGCAAAACCCCTCTGCACACCGGTGTTCATTGTAGCCTTATTCATAACCGTTCAATCTGGAATAAACCCAAGGCCCGTCAACAGATAAATGAGTAAGCAAAATGTGTAATAGATATGAGTGGGCCTCAAAATACTTCTGCATAATTTCTATTGTTTCATAATTCCATTTTTTGAAGTCCTTTCATATACCATGGAGTAATACTCAGAAAGAGAAATGAAGTCCTGATTTAGGATACAGCAAAGCTTGGAGACTTCTCTGAGTGAAATATGTCAATCACAAAAGGGAAAATATTGCACAGTTATGTAAAAAAGAAAGGAGTGGGCGAACGTGTAAGAACAAAAGTTTATTATTGATCACTAGGGTGGGAGGAGGAGTGAGCGGCATTGTTTTTGGACGATTGAGTTTCAATTCACTTGATGTTGATGGTAAATTTGCATTGATTAAAGAGAAAAGTTGCGCAACTGCCTGGAGTAATTGGTGTCAATAGGTTGTGCATCTGTAACTGGTTGACTTTGTAAAAGTTGTATAATAGATATATTTATAACAACAACAACAACAAACAATAGATGTATGCATACCAACAGCAGTAAAAGTGCAGCTGCTGATATTATTTATGTTCAACCAAATACCCAATGAGATTTGTTTTCATAGTTTTGAGTTTCCGGAGGTTTACCATTATGGTTTCATGAAACATCTCAGTTAATGTCATGCGGAGTGCTTCGATCCTACCTCCTAGTGGGCTATGCAATGTCTGGAATCTTATCAGCTTGCACACAGCCATTTGTGCCACACAATCAGTCTTTACTCACCTCGAGCAACAGAGGAAGCAGGGGAGTAAGAGATAGGCAGAATCAATGAAAGGGACTCCTAATTACATCTATGAACAAATCTCTCTTTTCCCCTAAGACCAGAAGTGCTTTGATTACTGAGTGCTTTGATCTAAGATTCTCTAGAAGAGTCCTGATCATAAGAGTAAAAATGCCAAAAAAAAGAGTAAAAATGCAAGAGAAAATTTAAAATTTTCAGGGAATCCAGTCTTCTGGGGTCATCCTCGAAACTACTGCCCTGAGGTGTTATTTAAACGAAAACCATATCCTATAAATGCAAGATATTCTAGAGTATATGTTATAGTTTTAACAATTGAGGACTTTAAAAACAAAGAAATTTAAAATAATTTTGAAAATAGTAGTTTAAAAGGTGCTTGCAAATTTATGTTTTGGGGAGCTATCCAGAATGCTGTGTTCCTCCTTGGAATCCAGCTGGTTAGAACGATTTAGAGGCTGTCCACATAAAACAGAAATGCTGTTAACCTCTTTAACAAGCCTTGAAAATCCATGTTCCTGGAGGGCATGAATCAAGCAGGCCTTTTTTGTTTATATGTTTTTGAGCAACTTAAAAAAATCTATGGATCATGCTGAAGTCTTTACTTAAAACTTACTCAAATCTAGGTGGTTTGTTAAGCACAGGAAATAACTGTCTTGTCTTGCATGTGGTCCCACAACACTTCCGGATCTGACCTTAACTCTCCAACTGAAGATTACAGAGGGAGGATTTGTCATAGAAGCAGGGGATAGGAGATGGCTCAGCCAAGAATTTGTTAGAGACTTCTACAGCCAAATGGCAGATGAGGTAAGAAAGTAAAAAAAACAAAACAAGTTGGTATGTTTTTTCAAATACCATAAGCTTTAGATCTCCATTATAGAAAAATCAGTGAGTCTGACCAACCAAATAAATTACAAGTGTCCTTTTTGGTGTCAGTGTCATGATGATGCTAATGGCAGCTGTCATAGCCACCCTATGGGCAAAATACTGCCTGGACCTGCCCCATCCTCATAATTATGTGGTGTGATAATCTCTTTATTCCAAGGTGTCCAAGTCTTTCTGGAAATTAATACCTAACCCTTCCCTATATATTTATGTCCTAGGTTGAAGATTTCTTGTTGTAAGCTGCAGAGAAAAGCTATATCCTTTATCAACTCAAAGGTCTTTCTCAGAAGCCATTTTCTTTAATTCTCCTGCACTTGACTTATGTAATACAGGTAGTGGTGTGCCTTGAGAAGTGGACTGACTTAGTACACAAGAAACATAGCTTCTAGAAATGCCTGTCCCATATAGAAGGCTCTTGATACATATGCTATTTAAATTTAAATGAGTAAGATGAGATAATATAAAAAATGCAGTGTCTTCATTACAGGAACCACATTCCAAGGATTCTCTAGCTGTTACAATATGGCTACCATGTTGTTCAGGCACAGAAAGGCATGTCCCTGAAAGCTCTTTGGACAGCACTTCCTAGAACTAAATGCATCACTCAAAACATTCTCTCTGGACCAGGGTTTCTGGCCCGTTCATTCTGGTTCGATCCTTTGAATTTACATTTCTTCCCCAGATATGCTGAATCAGAATTGAGATGATTCTGAATTGAGATTCCCAAGGTGAATCTGAATCTGATTGAGTATATTGGAACTGATAATGCAAGTTCACAAACTAGAATAAAACAGGTCAAAGCCCTTATCCTGGCCCTGCCTTCCATCTATGTAACAAGAAAGGATTGGACCAGCTGTGTCAGCATCTGGGAACTTTTTAGAAACTCAGTTTCTGAGGTCTACCCAAAACTTAGTGAGTCAAAACGGTGAGCTGGAGCTTCAGTGATCGGTTGAAAGGGCTCCGGCTGACTAGGATGAGCACAGTTTGAGAACCGTGCTATTACACTATCATTACGCTCAATCCTTGCAATCTGCGAGCCTTTAACCTTCAGATACTTTTCAGGATAACTTCTTGCCTCGTATCATGAAAGGGTACATTTCATTTGACTTAGATACTGCTACTAATTCAGTTCACCCAGCTGAGGAAGCGAAAGTCAATCAACAATTTGTCCTTCTATTTTGTAGCCTGAATTTGAAGATTACGTCTCCTTTATGACAACTGCTTTGAGCGATATTCTAGTTATTTCTCAAGGAAATCAGCAGACTTCCTTTGAAGAGGCTGAAGCAGAGATCCAATTTGAAGAACCAAATGAAGACAGCCCTGAAGTCGAAGAAAGTGTAACATTTGCGAAGACAAATAAAGGACAGAACAGGTAGCTCAAGGCTCAGAAATGTAATATTTATCATGTGGCATTGAGTAGTGAACTATAAAGTCCAAATCTTGCAACCCTAGATCAAAATACTTTTATTATGAAGTCCAAATATATTTTACAGCCAACTTCATGAGTTTGTGCATTCAGCAAGGCTGGGATTGCCCTGAAAATATGTGTGAAGAGGATTAGAGTAAAGAATGTCCCCTGCTTGGGGGAGCATCTCTAGAGTGAAGCACACTAGTCTGGCATTAGAGTCCAGAGCTGGAGGAGTAACTTGGGCTCATTCATAATCTTTCTCAACCCAATCCCACTGTCGCCATCCTTGTGCTCTACCCAGCATCGTATGGAGCTTATGTAAGACAGTTAAGCAAACAATCAAGGAAAAAACAAATGCACTGCCCTCAAGTCAATGCTGTCTCCTCGGGACCTGATATGGAGTCTCCCAGGCTGTAAATCTTTACACGAGAAGACAGCCTCATCTTTCCCCGGTGTTGCTGCCGGCAAGTTTGAACTGCCGACCTATGGTTGTCAGCCAAGTGCTTTACCCACTAAGAGATTTCACTTGTCCTTGATCTGTGTTTAATGAACCTCATCAGTGGCCACATCTCGGCATAAAGTTTTACATCTCTTGTTATGGAGCTGGGGCGCAGGTGCAATGCACATCCACCACATCTTTTAGAACCTAGAATAAAAAAAAATAAAAAAAAGAAAGACAATAATTCACATGAGTAATTTACACAGTTGTTTGCTTCCACTCTTTATTGCCACCCTCTTCCCCTACTTCACAGCATCCTCACTCTCCAGGGTTTGGTGGGAGTGCAGGGAAGGAAGTTAACGGAACAGCACATTGACAGGTGCTGCTCATAAACAGGATGGAGTCTCTTGGTGGTGCACCTGGCTAAGCACTTGGGTGATTGAAACGAACCCAGAAGCACCTCAGAAGAAATCCCTGGCAATCGGCCTCTGGAAGACGATCGCCATGGAAAGTCCAATGGAGCGCAGTTTACTCTTCATTGTGTTAGTTATAGTTGACAGCAGCTGGCTCCACGGACATGAGCTCGGTCCAGGCTAGCAGAGTCCCAGGTCTTTGTGAAGTTGGTTATCCCTGCAGAGATGAAGGCTCCCAGTTTATGGACCCAGGTGGCATGTGGCAGTGGTTCTTGGGTGGTTCTCCCTGCGATTGAAGGCCTATCTGTTCCACTACTTAGGGTCTCAACAAAAGACTGCAGAAAATGATGAAGTGTTTCCTCCTGCAGGGGATTAGTGCCTATCTGGAGGAAAGATCTGAGCCCAGGAGACAAGAACCCGGGCACATACCACAAACCCTAGGAAGAGATAGCACAGACATGTGATGTCCAAGGGAAAGCTTGACATTGGACTTCACTGGCTGGGCCTTCCTGATCCCAGAAATGCCAAGAGAGAGGACAATGATATTACTAGATCTTCTGTCCCTGAAGTTCTCTATGCTAGGTTTTCCCTAGTTGTTGTTTAGAGAAATGACAGTCTGTTGGCTTCTACAGCACAACACATAACCTAGAGAAGCGCACAGTCACTTGGCCTTCTGTCAACAGATGTTCCACCACTTAATTCTCTAATAACCAGCCTTAAATTCCAATGAGCCAACAAGGAAAAATACTACCCATCTAAAGGAGCCTAGCACCAGGGAAATATGTACACAAAAATCAAATATATGTCCAGTGAATGAGAACAGTTAGAAACCGATGGATTTGTAAATGATGATGATGATGATGATGATGCTGGAGATACGTGTACAGCACACTCACAGATTGCTTTCTAATTTGAATTATTCGAATTCTGATTGTTGTTGCTAGGGACATCAATTGTCGCTGACCCACAATTATGGTCAGCTCAATAGAACAAAACACTGCATGGTCCTGTGCCATCCTCATCATTATCCCTATACCTGAGCCCATTGATTGAGCCACTGTGTCGATCCATCTCATTGAGGACCTCCCTCTTTTCACGGCCCTTCCACTTTAGCAAGCATGCTGTCCTTCCGCAGGGACTGGTCTCTCCTGACACATGTCCAAAGCACGTTCGATGAAGTCTTGCCATCTTTGCCTCTAAGGAACATTCTGACCTTAGTCCTTTCAGTACTTTTCAATAGATGAACTTTGCTTAAGATCATCCAAAATTCTGATTACAGCCAGAGATTCAGAAGAGAATTAGAATCTTGGATAGTTATTTGAGACTTGAATGAATGGTGTGGAAAATCAGATGTGATAAATAGCTCAAAGTATAGACCGAAAATGAGGAGAAGTCAGGATAGCAGCAGTAAGCAATCTGGGGAATGTCACTAAAACTGAATGAAAGGAGCCCTGGAGGAGTAGTGGTCTTAGAAACCGATGGGGCCATTTCTACTCGGTTCTATAGGGTTGCTGAGAGTCAGAATCTACTCAGCAGTGTGTTCTGAGTTTGGAGGAAAGATTAAACAATGTTAAAAGCAAACACTGAACTCAAGTGAAGACCACCAGAGCAATAATGGATTTACACAAGAATCCTCAAAGCCTGCTAAAACCAGATGTAAAAATATTTACACCATTTCAAATAATATTAGTGTCACCCATATTAGGGGGGAATGGACATTTTGTACCTTCTACGCTGATGTACCAAAAAGGATACAACATCACATACGTAATATCCCTACCAATAATTCACTATTTTCATCTCATCTTGAGGAAACAATTGGGTACATCCCAGAGGAAGTAAACACTCACTGCCAGCGAGTGAAGTCCAACTCACAGGTAGCCTAGAAGACAAAATCCAACTGCCCTTGTGGGTTCCCAAGACTGTAACTCTTCACGGAAATAGGAAGCCTCGTATTTCTTTCATGGGGCAGCTGATGGTTTCAAACTTCTGACCTTGTGGCTGGTAGCCCAATGTGTAACCCACTAAGTCACCAGGGCTCCTATCCCAGATGAAGGACACCACAAAATATCTGGCTTAGAGCCTGTAAAGATACTAGTAGCGTGAAAGAAACAAAACAAACTGAGAAATTGTTTGAGATTAAAGGAAGCTAAGACACAGGAGAGCTAAGTGCAGGGTGTGATCCTGGATTCAGAGTTCAAAAGTAGAAACCTATTAGACAGAATTTGTGAAATTGGTGATATTTGAATATGAATGGTTTAGGAGACAGTTTATACCAATGTGAAATTTTCTGAACTACTTGCATTTAAGGGTGAATGGCTAAAATGACTTCAATTTAATTTCAAATAGTTTTGTTTACACACACACACACACACACACACAGAGAAAAAGAGCAGTGACAGAAAGTATGGGGAAAATGGCAAAATGTAAACAGTTGACTGGTGGGAGTTCATTGTTTAGGTTTTGCAACTTTTGGATCAATTACAAGTTTTTCAAAAATATGTGTTTTTAAAAACATGTTCTCATCTATACTATGTTTGCAAGAAACACAGAAAGTGAAATGAAAATAAAAGGATGTCAGGAAAACAAGGACCCAAAGAACCTAGAAATACTAGACTAGAATGGTAAGAGTGTTAAATTGATGAAGAAGAGCACAATGAAACAAGATGTAGTGATTTAATCCAACCAGTGTAACTGAGAAATACATAGTTGTATTTAAAAATAAATTTAAAAATAAGAAATTTGGGAGACATATCTATATACTGCTAGTACATGAGCATAAAGGCATATAGTAGTGAAAAGTTTACATTTCATAAAACTGCATTTAATTAATGATCTGTAATATATGTTACACAAATATATATACAATCTTAAGACTTCAAAATAAAAAGGGCACTTCTCTTTCCATGGAACAGCACTAAAAAATGGATGATTACTACACTCACAAAGCAAACTTTACCAAGGCTTTTTTTTAAGAAAAAAAAGTTATTCTCATATTTACTAATCAGAATCCAATAAAATTTGAAATAAGTAATATTTAGTTATTTGAAAATATTTAATGGGTTTGTACAACTCAAAATGCTCTTGGTTCAAAGAAACAAATTAATAAAAAATGTAAAACTATCTATGAAGCCCAACAAAGAAGAAAGATGCACAATTAATTTTAAATAAAAACTTTAAATCAAAAATTTTCTTTGTTTAGTCTCTCAGAAAGTAAAAAATTGGTGATGCTATTTGTAATTAATATTTATATAAATTGATTCAATTAAATGTGTTGAATTAAATACCATATTCTCCGACATGATAAATATATACAAGTTGACTTGAAATTCACATTTGCTTGTTTCTTTTAATCTCCAACTTATTTATTAATTGATATGTTCTAAGTTTCATTTGTTTTATTGTTTATTAAACTTCAGGTTATAATAATCTTACATTATATTTTTAATTTTGGCAGTTTACAAGAATATTTGGAAAAACAACAAATATCTGAATTTTGTGATGTTGAATATGATTTAATTAATGTTCACAAGGCCATCAATATCTTATTTCCTGATTTTAAAAAAATGAAAAACATGAAACTGGAAAAGATACTGGCATTAATTAGACCAGACCTCTTTAGAGAAAATAAAGGTAAGAAAGCATAAGTAAATTATTTTGTAGATGGAATTTTAACTAATGCTAGTTTAAATACATTAAATGGCATTATTCAAAAATGGAAAACAAATGACTTGAAATAAATAATTTAGTGACTGTTAATTTACCAATTGCTTATTACGACGGAAAAGCATGCGTGTGGTTAAGAGAGTTTACAAAACGTTTTGTAGCCTGCAAATTTATTAGGCTAGATATTAACATTAGAAGAATTATTTTATAATATTAAAAATTGGAAGAAGAGAAAGATGGGGCTTTCTGACCCCGAGTCCTGGTAGTGCAGGGGTTACAGTGTGGGTAACAGCAAGGTCCATAGTTTGAAACCATCAGCCTCTTTGAGGGGGAAGCAGGGCTTTGTACCCCAATGATGACTCATAGTCTCGGACACGCTAGAGAGCAGTTGTCCCTTGTCTTACAGGTCACTGTGAGTTACAGTGTGCTCTATGGCAATGAAGTTTCTTGTTGTTTTGATAGAATGGCAATCTTGAAAACTCACAGGAGCAGTTATAAATAACCCCCCACCCCCAATTCATTATTTTTTGTGTTTAGCAGATTTTTATTTCTTTCCCCTAGACCGAACCCACCCCGTTCTAATTTCTTATACTTTTGTTTTAATGTGTTTTGAGGTTTTAGTACACAAATGGCTGTCATTTTTTGGAATGCATTTTAATTTGATAAGGTTTGACACTTTTTATTTTGTTTGTGATCAGATTTATAACAGATGCCTTTAGATTTCTTCATTTCCTCATGCTTTCCACAGTCCTCAAAAGTCTCACTTTCTACCATTTAAGTGCATAAGTAGAGTTCATCTTTTAGTTATCTGAAGATAATTAAACACATACTTCAAAAGAATGTACTTTGTTTTTAGCTCTCTTTGCCATTTTGTATCTATTTTCTTTATAGAAAGAAAACTTGTGGACACTGTGCATATAGTTAAATGAGCTGCTCACCCTCAAACTTGGAGACTTCTGTCCAAAAGCAGAAAGCCGAGGTGCTTTTGGGCAGAGGCGTTCTCCCTCAAAACCTGTCCCAGAAGCACCTTTCCTTATATCTCACTGACTCCATCTGTATAACGCTGCCACACTGCCCAAGAGGAATGATGGGAAGTGAATCTTGGAATGTCTGGGCCCCTATAATGGGAAGCAGGCAAGAGAGGAAAGGTTGGAAAACTTGTCTAAGGGTTTTTGCATATCTAACCAATACACATCTCCTCAAGGAAGGACAAGAGAATAAAGCATATTAAATATACAAGTGTATGTATAAAATTTGCATAATTGTGTAGATTGGTATTTTGGTTATTAGAAATCCTTCTAGCATAGTAATGAATGTTCTTGACTGCTAATTGAAACGCTGGCAGTTTAAACTCACAGGAGAAAGATGTGGCAGTTTGGTTTAGGGAAGATTCACAGCTTTGGAAACCTGATGGGAGCAATTCAACGAGATCCTACCATCATGAGTCAATGTACGCAATGGCAATGGACTTGGTTTGGGTTTAGCAAATATTGTCTTCAGGTGTACATGTGTGGGTATACACAAAAAATAATTCTATGTGATGAAAAACTTGAAATAGCACTAGAATTTGAAATGCTAACAAGTATTGTTTGCCTTAACTTGAAACCAGCTATTTTGGGAATTTTTTACATTTAAATGAGAGCAAGAATATATTACATTCATGATACTATATTATGTACTGTGTATGTAGCCAATAACTTGGACGTTTGTATTTTATGTTGGGACTTTTTCTACTTAGACAATGTCTTGGAAATTATTGAAAATGAAGGCTTTAAAATACTAATGGAAAGAGAAATAGTTTTATCAAATGAAGAAGCACAAATGCTCTGCAAGGAATGCGAGCATGAAGACTACTATGACGCGCTTGTCACAAACATGACCAGGTGAAGTGGAGCTCAGGGTTAGAACGGGGACTTTCTGTTTAGCTTCTCACATCTGTGGACATGTCCTGGGTTTACTTCTCTACCAAGCCCCATCCCATCCTGATTCTCTGCTCAGATGTCTGGCCTTTGTAGTACTCCTGGATTGACACCGGAACAATGAGAAGGCCCTGCATGAAGTAAGCGGAGCCCAGTTGTATTGAATGGTAGAAATCCAGGCTCTGCTGCATTATGAACTCTGAGCAGAGAACCGAGGGACTTTGATATTTCTGAAGTTTCTGGTGCTTCCAGAAGAATCACTGCAATCGCAGCTGAATCAGAAATCCAGCTAGGACGAATCAATCAACAAGAGCAAGGGAACAACATAGAAGCCACTCATCAAAAACAATGTCCCTCACTTGGCTTTCTTCCCTGACTGCCATCCTTTCACAAATACATCCTTACAATTACACCAATAAAAGTTCATTTTAGACCCCTAAATGAAAGGATTATTTTTTACATACTTCAATCTACTTAACCAAAAGAATGTGAATTAGCTCTACATAATTAGTGACTGAATCATATTTCCACGAACTTTTTGTTGTATTTTTTTCTCTTTGAACAGTGATACATCTCTAGCCCTTGTTTTACTCAGAGACAATGGTTTCAAACACTGGAAAGACTTACTCGGACCAAAGTTGGTTGAAGAAGCCAGAGAACAAGCTCCAGCGAGGTAGGATTGACATTCTACACCCCCTACTCTATATGTGAGCTCGATTTATGTTTATTTTGGGGTATGGACTCTAGCATGTACCTTTTGCTAATGGATTCTTTTAGGGAAGGAGTAGACTGCTCATGACTGGATACTCTGCCCAATCTCAATGTAAATAATGCAAGGTTTTGCAACAACAAAAAAAAGATGATGGGATGCTTAGTTTGTGGCTCAAATGGATGTGAAGGTTATTACTGTTCAGTGCCATCGAGTCATTTCCTGTTCATGATAAACCAAAGTACAGCAGAATGAAACAATGCCCTACTCAGTGCCCTCCTCACAGTCCTATGTCTGAGCCCAGTGTTGCAGCAACTGCATCGATCCACTCATTGAGCGTCTTTCTCTTCCTTGCTGACCTTCTACTTGACCAAACATGATGTCTTTTTCTAGTGACCTCCTGATGGCAGTAATATTTTATAAAAATAATAAGGTTTTACACACAAAAGGTGTAGATAATCATTTTGGGGTCACCTTTTGGGACAGTGTACCCCTGTGTGATCCACACCCCTCAGGCACCACTAGTAATGCCACTGCTGTCCAGTCCCATCTGTATCACTCTTGCCTCTTCTGGCAAAGTGAATCTGGATGCTCGTCTTACTGAGGCACTGACGCATGCCAAAGGTTGCCGAGTACTGGATCCAGGGTTAATGATCTGGTGTCTTTAGGGTTACGTGCCTTCAAGTTGTTTGCCACTCTTAACGATCCCATATACGACAGAATGAAGCTCAGCTCAGTTTTTCGCCATTCTCAAAATTGTTCTTGTGTTGGAGTCCATTGTTTCAGCCACTGAGATAATGAAAGTTTATTGTGCCAACCTGGCCGATAAACACATGTAGGGTTAATTGAAGGCTTGGTAAGCCTCGCCTTTCGAGTTCTCAGGTCTACTGCTTTCTGATGGTTGGACCAGGGTGCAGTTGCCTTACCCAGTTCCCTGCTTCAGCCAGCAAGGCTCACTTCCTACAAGACATCCCTGAAGAGAAGACGCATGCACCTACCCCGATGCAACTCTGGGTGCTGGAGCAGCTGTCTGGAGACCCCTGCCAGTGCTGAGATGCTTACACTCTCACTGATTCAGCTTTCCTCCTGCATTTGGTGTCATTGTGTGTGTTTTGTGAGATGGAGGAGGACTTTGTGGATTGCTATCGGACATATGGGCTAATGCTGGACTTGTGGGCTTGGGCAGCACTGGGTTGGGATGTTTTCTTGATGTGCACTTACCGTTTATATAAAACTCTCTCTTATAAATATGGGTTTCTATGGATTTGTTTCTCTAATGTACCCAGACTAACACAGCCACTGTGTGAATCCATCGTGTCAAGCAACTTCCTCTCTTTTATCAAAAATGACCACATGTCCAAAGTTAAGTGAAATGAAGTCTCACTGTCCTTGCCTCTGGGAGCATTTGGGCTGTACTTCTTCCTGCACAGGGTGGTTTGTTCTTTTGGAACGCCACCTTGTTTTCAATACACTTTGCCAGCACGGTAACTGAATGCATCAATTCTTTTTTCGTTTTCCTTTTTCAATGTCTAGTTTTCACAGGCACATGAGACAACTGAAAATGCCTGGGTTAGGTCAGGCACAATGCGGCCCTGAAAGCAACATCCTTGCTTTCGACACTCTCAAGAGGTCTTGTGCAGCAGATTTACCCAAAGCAATGCATAATTTGATCTCCTGCCTGCTCCTTCCATAGGCATTGATTGTAGTTTTGAGCAAGGCAAAATCATGAACAACTTCCTTTTTTTTTTCCATTTGTCATGCTGTTACCTATTGGTCCTCTTGTGAATATTTTGCTCTTCTTTACATTGAGTCTTTATCCACACTGAAGTCTGCCATCCTTGATCTTTATCAGCAAGTGCTTCAATACCTCCTCACGCTCAGCAAGCAAGGTTGTGTCATCTCCATATCACAGGTTGTTAATACACCTATATCCAGTCCTGCTGCCACATTCGTCTTCGTATAAGACAGTTTCTCGGGTTATTTCCTCAGTATACAGATTGAAAAATTATGGTGAGAGGATACAGCTCTGATGCACACTTTTCCAGATTTTAAACCATGTGATAGTCCCTGGTGCCATTTGCACAACTCCCTCTTGATCTGTGTTCAGATTCCACATGAACACAATGAAGAGTCTGAAATTGCCATTATTCTCAAAGTTATCCATAGTTCCATAGTTATGATCCATACAATGGAATGCCTTGGCATAGTCAATAAAATAGAGGTAAACATCTTTGTGATATTCTGTCCTGTTAGCCATGCCATGATCCACCTGAGTTCAGTAAGGATATCCCTCATTCCACATGCTCTTCTGAATCTGGTCTGGACTTCTGGAAGCTCCCTGTCCATGTACTGCTGCAACCATTATTGGATGATCTTCAGAAAAAATTTACTAGCATATAATATTAATGATATTATTCTGAAAATAGTGCATTCTACAGTGTCATATTTCTTTGAATGGGTACAAATGTGGGCCTCTTCCAGTCAGTTGGTCAAGTGGCTCTCTTCCACATTTCTTGCCATTGACAGGTGAATGCTTCCAATGCTTCATCCACTTGTGAAATATTTCTATCATTATTCCCTCAATTTTTGGATCCGCGATTTTCATGATTGCCCTCAGTGGACTTCTTCTATTAGCACCACTGGTACTTGATCATATGCTACCTCTTGAAATGGTGAATGTCAACTAGTTCTTTCACCACTAGTGACTCTGTGTATTCTTTCCATTTTCTTTGTATGCTTGCTATATCATTAGCTGATTTGCCCATAGACTCTTTCAGCATTACTACTCAAGGCTATTGGTCCAGTTGTGAAGATTTTACTCTTCTTTACATTGAAAGCTAATCCATACTGAAGGCTGAAATCCTTGATTTTTATCAGCAAGTGCATCAAGTCCTCCTCACCTTCAGCAAAAATAGGTTATGCAATCTGCATATCACAGGTTGTTAATAAAGCTATCTCCAATCCTGGGGTTGTACTCTTCTTCATATAATCCAGTTTCTGTCTTTATATATTTACCTATTCAAGATTTCAGATGCAGAAAAACATACAACAAAACAGAAAACAACCCGCCCCAAATAATAATAACAAAATTAAACCGAGAAAACCTTCAATCAAGAAGAAAGCAGAAAATATTAAAACCCAGAACAAATTTAAAATGGGCCCAAAACGATAAAATTATAAGGTTTTAATTTTAACCATGCTACATCGGCAGTAATCCACTTTCCAGTGCCCTCTCTGGTAGCAAGGTTATTCACATCCTTGGTCTATTGTCAAATAGACCATCTTGATGGAGCCCGCGATCTCGCTGCCAAGTAGGGACCTTGAAAATGGATTTCGGGCTTTCACTGTCATCCACAGCCTTCTCTAAACCATGTATTCAGAACTTAAGCTCTAGGCCTTCTGCATTGTATTTTATATTTGCAATCCTTGGAGAGCACAGGCTGGTGGACCTTTTCCATATGTACTTCACTGACACCTCACTGAAATGGATACTGTCTTTAGACAAGCCTTTAAGACCCCAGAGGCTATTTTGTTAGCATTTTATTGTTAGTTATAATAGCATTTTTTAAACTGGACCTTTTTTCCCTCAAAGTTTATGTGCAAGATTTGCAAAAGAAAGTCTGCCTATCAACCAATTGTATGGAAGTGACTCATTGGAAGTTGCTGAAAAGGAAATACAGTATTTCTTTCCTCCCCAAAACACTTTCGTGATGATTAAACCTCATGTAGACTATGAAAAGAAAGGTAAGTATTTAAAAATAAAAGCCAATGTATACATTTGTTTTTCTCCAAATATGTTTGAAATTTTACAAATTATAGAAGTTCAAA